AATCGGTAGTTATTGTTGGGTGGGTGCTGACTCAGAGAGACCTTTGGTATACTAGAAGGAAACATTGTTGGGTGGGTACTAACTCAGAGAGACCTTTGGTATACTAGAAGGAAACATTGCCCCACGGGGTGCCGCCATCTTTACCATCACTTGAATACCTAAGCTTGTTGTGGAAGCCATGGTATGTTTTAAGTGCTTTTGAATCTAGGGGATCACCTCCTAGCACCGCATCAGACAATATTCTGCTGTGATCTAGAAGATTGCCATCCATTTATTTCAGAAATACCTTTCTAGGCCTTTTCTCCTAGCCTCTTGTAGTCTGGAGGCTCCACTGAAATTTATCCACTACTGATAACCCTGCTGGTAAATGTTGTATGAAGAAACAAAACAAAGCAAATAAACAAAAAACACATTATGAAGTAAACCAAGATAGCGTGCACAGACACACACACCCCGTCGCGGCCGCCCGCCCCCGCCCCCCAACCTGCATACTCCTAAGCAGTGCTGTTTCCTCCTATGACCCCCTGCTAAAGTAACTTAGCATTCCGGTTCCTCTCAAACCAGGAGAAACACGATGCTGTCCACTCTTGTAAAGAGTTCCAGTCGCAGAAAGTCCCTGAGGCCATTCTGCCCTGTCCTATGAGTCAGAATTGACAAGATGGCAAGAAGTTCTCCTCTCACATGTACGAGAAAAGACAGAATCCTTCTTAGTAGGTATTCAACAACTATTGATGTTATCTTTTTTTCCTCTTTAAATTGTGCAGCCTCGATTTCAATGTGGTAATATAAGATTCTAGAAATTGTGTCTTAAAGTCTGAACTGAACCCTTTCGCTTTTGTGCTGTGTTGGGAGTGGACAGTGGGAAGTAAAACATCATGGGAAATGTTCCTCTCTTTTTTGATATATTGAAATGGACTTCCGTGATGCTGAATTCTTTTAATCCCAGGTTATATAATCCCAACTCGAATACCCACTAAGACCTGGTGATATTTTATCGAGCGCTACATGGCCAGAGAGGAATCACCAATGTCCTCCTTGCCTACAACACCTGTTTGTTTTTTTTAATAAGGTGAAAACTTACCAGATTCTTCCCTGCTTCATTTTCTTCTCTTGTATATCTGCCTTTTCCCTCAACTCCGAAATAACATTTCAATCAGTGAAGATACCGAGTGGGCAGTGAGTGGGTAGGTTTTGTGTTAGTAGAATCACAGCATTTTTTTTTCTGAATCACAGCATTTTAAGTTGCAGTGAATCATAAAATTAATCATTCTCCGTAACTTCATTGCTTATTATAGAAAAAATGAGGTATGACCTAAATCTCTATCAATATCAGTGCCATCAAGTTGACTCCTTTTATAGCGACACTATAGGAGAGAGTAGAAATGTTCCATCTGGCTCCTGCAGAGTAGCTTAGGGGTTTGAACCACCAAAGGTTCAATTATCAGCCAATGCTTACCTTACTGCTTCTTATATATATCAAGAAGTATGTTAAATTATGATAAAACTTTATAATACTTTAGTAAATAATACATGTATGGACTATATAGACTACAGTTAGAGTGTCCAGTAAACAAAATTTAGGTACCACAGTTTATATATATATATATATATATATATATATATTACTACTTCCAACTTGGTTTTGCTGAATCTTCTTTTCTTCTGTTTTATGAGATACCTAAACAGATTCTTGATTAGCTTCCAAAACTTCCTGAACTGTTCCTAGTATTAAAATTTTAGCCTTGTACATTTTAAGAACTCCAATCGCCTGTCTGATTCAAAACATGCTTGCGCCCTTTCATTAACCAGGCTTATGTCTCTAGTAAGCAGTAATGGGAAAGGACTGTGTCTGATTCCCTTATTTCTCCCTCTTCCACCTTGAGATGACAAGGACCCGTTTTCTACCTGTGGGTTATCTTCTTCTTTATTCTAGTTCTTTAGTCTCTGTAGTAGTTAGACACAAGTATGGAGGCTTTATAAAGAGCCAGCCAGTAGATTGGATGTCCAACTGATATAATTTATTCCTACCCAGAATTCATTCTCCATTGAATCTATATAACTGAGGCACAGAAGGTAGATGTGTGGCTATGCTGCCAGTTACCATGGGCACATTGTCTTGCCTTCTACACTCAGATTGTTCCCTTTACCACTTTTCCTAGCACCTGCATTTAGGAGATGCTTGACTGACCTTAATGCTCATGATTAAAGAAAACTTCAAATGTGATATCAATATTCCCCCAAATGAGCAAAGTATCATTTTCTCCAAATGCATATTTCAATTTCTGCAGGCTACAGTCTCCAGCTTATTCTTGTCCTTGTTAAAGTGAGGTCTTTTAAAAACTGAAACATTTTCCTCACGTGGAAATGCTAGTGAGGGGTTGCCAGTTATCTCAAGAAATAATCTACCTATAGTTCCAGAGTCACACCAACTTGTAAGAAGAAAGGCTGTGAGCTCTCAATCATCCTAAAGAATGAAAAAGAACGAGTATTGATCTGACTCTGGGAGTCTTTGCATCCCAAGTCCGCCATGCAGTGCATTTGGGTAGGTGGGCTATCGGAGGAAAGAGACTCCTTGAGAATCGGCTAGAACTTCAGCCCTCAATTCCTGCTGAATTAAACTTACCATCCTGGTGTCCTTTATTTTTATCATAGTAGGTCATTTGGTTATGAAGCTTTCTGTAGACTTATTATTCAGATACAGGAATGAGATCGTTAACGTTTATTGTGCTAAGAAGGCCACTGAACACATGTGGGATTAATTGAAGAGCAGAGAGACAAAGGGCTCCGCGAACCTCGCCTCTCGTCTCTTGCTCTTTGTTCATCGGACCAGTGTGTGGCTGCCTTGCTTGTTCTGTGCCTCAATTTGTAAGCTGTACTACCCGTGGGACACCTAACCCATGGATCGTGTCACTGTAATTTGAGGTTTCTTCAAGACCTGCTTTGCCGCACTATTGGAATTTACATCTCTTGACCTGGGGACTGACTGTTGGTGACCTGGCTGACTGTTGGTGAACTGCCTTCCTGTTTGCTGCCTGTGCCTGGATAGTCTGAATTGCTCTACAGAGGACTACCAGGCAGCCCTCAAGACTTGAAGGACTGCCAGTGTCTCACAACTGTCTCATGTGAGTGAGTTGCACTGAGCCATTTGTACTGCTTTATAATTTAATTAACTGTTTATTTCTTATGTTATCTATCTATCTATCTATCTATCTATCTATCTATCTATCTATCTATCTATCTGTATACATGTATATAACATTATTAGCATTCTGGTTTTGTTTCTCTAGAGAACCCTGTCTAACAGAGGGAACAACCAAATATTTTTTCTTGTCTCTTGGTTTCACCTACTGACATAACTATGAGCAACTTCAAAGCTGCATAAGGCACCAAAGGCCGTTTCTTCCTGGCTTCCAATGTGGACCAAGAGTAATCTTTTCATAGGATTATGGTGACATAAGAAAGGCCTGGCTAGCGCTCTTGGGAAATGCCTTAAGGTCCTTCCAAGGCTTAGCAGAAAATGAAAACCCGGGTTTGGATTCTTTGGCGCACTTCCACATGGCTTTGATGGACTTACAGCAAGCCTGTAAAAGCAAGATCTTTCATAATTCAAAGGCTCGTCTGCATTGATTACAGGGCCTGACAGCTCAGACTAATCTGAGTTTCATATATCATAGAATTGAAAGCCTGTGTAGCTCCTCCTGAGAGTGGCTTGGATCACTCAGCATTTGAGAGCTTTGCCACTGAAGTATTTCCATGTCTGCTTTTCCTCTCACCACTTGTCATTAAGTTTCTTTTGCTCCCATTTCCCTGGTGAGCATTCAGCTTGTCTGTGTGTTTTGGGAAAATTTTAGGTTTGTAGTTCAGAAAAATACCTCGATTTCAAGTAGGATTCAAGTTCTGGTATTTCAGACCTTTTCCTTGAATTGTATTCTTTTATATAGCCATAAGTGGGAAGCTATCAAGTGCATATATGCATAATTAGGTGTATTTTTAACAGCAAAATGTAAATTAACAAAGAAACCTGAATAGATTTAAAATATATATGAAAAGTCTTCAAAAAGCTCAAGAGGCAGAGGGGAAATGGAAGGAAAAGGTAATAGAACATTGTTTCCATGGACTTTTTGAAGTATCTATGTGTAGTAAGCTATTTAAAATAAAACAGTAGGAAGAATTAAAAGACTGTTCAGTCTTCCAGAAATTGGAAGCTTGGATAACCCTTCATGAAACTGTGAGCACTCTGTTTTTCTCATTCTCATTTTTGTGTTGTTCATGAAAACAGAATCTAGATAATTTAAAACCATGAGTCCTATCTGGAAGTTTTCACAGACTCCCTCATATAATGTCTAAATATTTTAGAAGGTTTCTTCTGAAGGAAGTTTCAAGCTGTGTTTATAGGAAAGTGAGACACAGAAACGAAACGCGCAGGCTGAGGAAATGCCATGTGAAGGGAATATTAGGGATGGAAGAGATAGTAGCACAACCACACCACACAGGCATGGGAAGGGGACTTCGCCCTTGGAATTACCCTGGAATTCAGACTAGAGGAGCCCCAATGGTTACAGGTTGGACTGTGATCCTCAAGTTAAGCAGTTCAAAACCACCAGCCGCTCTGAGAGAGAAAGACTTGGCTTTCCACACTTGTTAAGTTTCAGTCTCAGAAACCCACTGGGGGCAGTTCTGCCCTGTCCTATAGGGTTGCTAAGGGTTGACGTCAACTCCCTGCCGTGGGTTTGATTTGGTTTGTTCAGGAATTAGAATGGAGTTCAAATCATCTTTGTTAGAGTACTCCAAGTGTCTGTCTTTCGGGTTGCTCCTATGATTCTACTTTATATGAGTATGATTTGTTGAAATCTAGGCTTTATTACAATTAAGCAATATTTCCACAAATATTAGTTCACTGACAAACAAATGATGATGAGATTGTTGGTATTTCTTCAAGTGAAATAATTAAGAAAACAATTTGTGTTTGTTAGTTGTGAGACTGTAGAAAAGTACAGAGATCTTTCCTGTGTAAACACTGTCCTGTAATTGCAGCTGCCAGGACCTTGTCTTGGTTTTTATAATAATGCTAGCAGAAGACACCCAAGAAGAAAAGTAACTGCATTACATCAGAAAACCGGTGCTGAAACTGTCTTAAATTCCAATGTCTTTACTGAATACAAATTTAATGAATTGAAATATAAATCCTACCTAATTTATAACCCCCACCTAATTTACAATAAAAATTTAAAAAAGAAAGATTTAGTGCAATATCTTTAGAGATCTCATAGAATGACTTGTTTAATCATTCTATTTTGGAACTCTTACTGATATTATTACAATCCATAATTCAATTAGAGCAAGCATAATTGTACATTTGCTATCATCATTTAAATAGGTTTCCTTTCTCTTGAACTCCTTGATATCAGCTCCCCTTTATCCCTCCTCCCTCACCCTCCCCTCGGGAACCCTTATTATTATATAATATCTTGTTATTTTGCTGTATCTTACACCACCCAATGTTTCCGTTCTAAAATTCTGTTATTCATTCCCCTCGAGTGGGGTTATCTGGTCATCATTGCTATTGATCCCCCCTTCCCTCAGCCTCCTTTCCTTAACTTCAGGGAATCATTACTCCCATTACTATGACTGAAAGGTTTATTTATCTTGGATGCATCAAACGACCTTAACTATACAAATGAACATACACAGGTCTCAGAAGGTTAATGAGGTGAAACTAAGATAATAATGGTAAGGGCAGGAGATGTTAAAGAACTAGAAGATATTTATATGTTTCATCAGTGCTATACTGTACCCTGGATATATCAGCCCTTCCATGTAGCCCTTCTGTGAGGGACTGTCCAATTATCTTACAGGTTGGTTTGGGCTCTCACTTTGTCTGTGCTCCTTCAGCATCAATCTGGTTGCTTGTTTTTGAATTTCCGATACTCATTCCCATCAATACCTCATTATCACACAGACTGGTGTGCTTCTTCCCTGTGGGATTTTTTTCTTCACTGCTATATGGCCATTTGTTTTACTTCAAGCCTTTAAGACCCGAGATGCTATATCTTTTAATAGCCGGACACCATCAGCTTTCTTCACTACATTTGCTTGTGCACCCATTTGTCTTCAGCTATCATGTTGGGAAGGTGAGTATCATATAATGCCACAAAGTTACAACAAAATGTTCTAGTACTGAGATAAAATTTTACATGGAGGCCCAAAGTCCATCGGCTTCCATGCTTTATACACACAAGCGCGTGTGTGCGCGAGCGCGCGCACACACACGCGCACACACACACATACACTTATCTTTATATATTTACATATATATTTATATTTATACCAATATATAATTTAAACTTTCTTGTTCTTTGCTCTTTTTCTTTCCTGCTGCCCCATTTTTATGTGTACCCATTGTTCACCTCACAGTAATTCCTCTCAGATTCATTTCAATTGATCAATAAACGGTATCTTCAGTGTTGTCCTCTGTATGGTTGTTATCTATGGAGAGGACATCATATCCAGAGCTCTGGCCGGACCTGCAGTCCTCTCTGTGGATGAACTGCTCCGAGCAGGAACATAGCCCACAAGGCTTACCTCACTAGTGCAAGGTCTACTACCTCTCTCATTTTCCTGTGTACACATAAACAATACCCTCCCCTGGGGTGGATTACTGTCCTGTTCCCACTTTACCATTTTTTTACTTCCCCAACCCCTCTGTGGGCCATAAAGACATATGGGGCGTGTGGGGTGGGCGGGGGGGTGGGGGTGGTTGTTGAGCATAAAGGTGATGTGTCTTTCCACACAGTTGCTATCTTCATCTTTTAGATATTTTTTCCCTTTTCTTTTTTGATGATGTATGCATCATTGTGTTTAGCCTGGCTTTTGTCAGAGTAGTTGCTCTTTAGCCCAGAAACTGTGCAATATGTACATGTTCCCTTTTGCTCATTCTATATTTGTTGCTTTCCAACATTTGTTGCTTTCTGTTTTTCTGAATTGGGCTATCCTGGTGGGTTTTAGCTAGTATTTCATTGTTTGAACTTACCTTAGTGCAATCATGTTGTAGTTATCCTTTTGTGCTTGACTAACTTTGCTCAGCATAATGCCCTCTGACTCCTTCCATGAGACGAGATGCCTCATCGATTCTTCACTGTTTTTTAAGGATGCAGAGTACTCAATTGTGTGTATATACCAGGGTATTTTAATCTATTAATCTATTGATGGAAATTTAAGCTGTTTCCAATTCCATGTGATTTTGAACTGCACAGTGAAGAACATTGGAGCACAGACGTCAGCCATAGACTGTTTCTTATTTCTTCTGGGTATCTGCCCAGTAGTGGAAATTGCTGCGTCTTAAAGTAACTTGATTTCCATCTTCTTTGGGGCATCACCAAATCACTCTCCACAGTGGCTGTATGTATCTACAAGACCACCAACAGTGAACAAGCGTTTCTATCTCAACATACCCCTCCAACAGTTCTTGCTTTCTGTTTTCTGAATTGGGTGGGCCATCCTTGTGGGTTTTAGGTGGTATTTCATGGTTCCTTTGATTTGCATTTCCTGGAGGGCTAATAATCAGGAACAGTTTCTTATATGTTTATTGTCCGTTCAGACTTCCTCCTTTGTGACTCTCCTGTTCAAGTCTTTTGCTCACCTCCTCCGTGGACCATTCATTTTTATTTTTCTTTTAAAGTTGCACAGTTCTATAGATTTTAGAAATAAAACCTTTGTCAGATATGTCATTACTATCTTTTTCCAGTCTGTGGGCTCTCTCATTACTCTCTTGATGCTGTCTTTTAATGCACACAAGTGTTTTATCTTTAGTAGGTCCTACCCATCTATGTTCTCTTCCTCTGGGTGAATAACTTTCATTATTGTTGATAGCCCTGCATTAAGGTTCTTAGCTTTGTCCCTATTTTTTCATTGATGCGCCTAATAGTTTTGGGTTTTACCTCAGAGTCTGAGATCCACCTTGGTTTTTTTCTTGTGTGTGGGGTGAGATAAAATTCTTGGTTCATTATTCTGCAGGTTGACATCCAGTTTTTCCAGCACCATTAGTTAAAAGGGGCATTTGATTCCTATTTCATATTTTGAGGGCCCTTGTCAAAGATCAGTTGTCTGTATTCTGCTGGTTTTATTTCTGTTTTTTTCTGTTCTTATCCATTGATCTGAGGGTCTATCATTATACTAGTACCATGCCTTTTTTTTGACAAATGTGGCTGTATAATATGTTTTAAAGTCATGTAATGCAAGGCCCCCACCCCCACTCCTGCAACCACCAAAACTTTATTCTTTTTCTTGATGAGTTATTTGCCAATTCTGGGGTTCTTCCCTTTTCATATGAAGTTGGTTGTGGTAGTTACATAATCTGTTAAGCCACATGCCAGGAGTGAGATGTTTACACAGCCACTGGATCCACAAAACTTTCCTCCCACTGGCCTGTGATCTTCCTGCATTTGACATCATTGCATGTGTTTCATTAGTCTGAATTGGAATTTACAGATTGGGAACAAACATATGGCCTACTATTTGACTTATGGACTTGATCTGGACTGGGCTGGGATATTTTCTTAAGATACAATTGCTCTTTAATATAAAAAGCTCTTTCTTCTACATATATGATTGTCTATGAATTTGTTTCTCTAGTCTACACTAACACTTTGGTAGTCGGTTTTTCCATTTCATTGACAATGATGGTATTTGTATCAGGATTGCATTGAACTTACATAGTGCCTTAGGTAGTGTGTTAGTGTACTAGAACCTCCAGGAATATGTTGAATAAAAGTGTGGACAATGGGCATCCTTGTCTGGTTCCTTTTTTCAATGGGAATATTTATGTCTTTTCTCCATTGATTGCAACACAGGCTGTTGGATTTTTATATATAACTTTAATTACACTGAGGTAATTTCTTTCTAGTCCTATCTTCTTGAGTGTCTTAATTAGGAATGGGTGTTGAATGTTATCAAATGCTTTTTGTGCATCTATTGATATTATCATGTGGTTCTTGTCCTTTTTCTTCTCAATGTGATGGATGATGTTGATGGATTTTTGAATGTGGAACCAACCTTGCATACCTGGTATGAATCCCACTTGGCCATGATGGATTATTCCTTTTATATATTTCTGGGTTGTATTGGCCAAGATTTTGTTAAGGATTTTTACGTATAGAAATAGCGACATGTAGTTCTATATTCTTGCTTGATCCTTGCCTGGTTTTAGTATCAGTGTTATACTAGTTTCATAGAATGTGTTTAGTAGTTTACCATCCTTTTCTATGTTCTGGGAGAGCTTGTGTAGCATTGGTATCAGCTCTTCCCTAAATGTTTGGTAGAATTCTCCTGTAAAGCCATCTTGGCCAGACTCTTTTTAGTTGGTATTTCCATGATAATCTTAACTATTACTAATTTTGCTATGGGTCTGATCAAGTTCTTGATGTCTATATGGGATAATCTGGGGAAGGTTTGTTTTTCTAGGTATTTGTCCATGTCTTCCAAGTTGCTGTCTTCCTAGGGGTACAGTCCTTCATAGTACTTTGTAATTAGTCTTTTTATTTCATTGGGGTGGGAGTGTCATTGTAATTTTTCCTGTCTCATCCCTCAACCTGGATTTTGATATGTGCTCCTTCCTATCTTTTATTATGTTTGCCAACAGTTTGTCGATATCGTTAATCCTTTCAAAGAACCAACTTTTGCCTGAGTTACTTTTCTCCATCGTTCTTTTTTGTCCCAACTCATTTATCTATGCCCTAATTTTTATAACTTCTTTTCTTTTGTTATTAGAAGGATTATTCTGTTGACTCTGTTGCAAGTGCTGAAGGTTTTGTGTGAGGGTATCCACCATAAGTCTCTTTTTCTTTATATGCACATTTATCATTATAAGCATTCTCAGATTACTGCCTTTGCTGATTGCTTCCACACAGATTTTGGTATGATGTATTCTCATTCTCCTTTGTTTCTAGAAACTTCCTAATTTCTTCTCTAATTTGTGCCAATACTAACTCCTTTTGTAGAAGTAAGTTATTAATCCTCAACATATTTACACTTGTTTTTTTAATCTTTATTTTGTTGATTTCCAGTTTTATGATGTAATGGTCAGAGAAGGAAGTCTGAGTGACTGCTATGTTTGAATTTGCTCAAACTTGACTTGTGTCCCAGCGTGTGGTCTATTTTCGAATATGTGCCATGTGAACTTG